GGATGGGCCACTTTCTTGGATTGGCTGCCCTCTGGGATGGACTGCCCTCTGGGATGGGCCACTTTCTTGGATTGGCCGCCCTCTGGTGTGGGCCGCCCTCTGGGGTGGGCCGCCCTCTGGGGTGGGCCGCCCTCTGGGGTGGGCCGCCCTCTGGGGTGGGCCGCCCTCTGGGGTGGGCCGCCCTCTGGGGTGGGCTAATGAAGCGCCTGGCGTCACCGGCTGGTGTGAGCCCTGTGGAATAGGGGGTGCTGAGGAGCGTGCTCCTGACGCTGGTTTGGAACCAGTTTCCTCCTGGCTCCAAACTTGGCCCTGAAGGAAATGTCGCAGCCGGAGCACTGCCAGCAGCCTCCTTGTTGGGAGAGAAAAGCAGACTAGGATGGAGCCGTGGGCCAGGGTCTGGCCACGGTGGCTCTGTGGCAGCTGAGCTCCTGCCACGCCTCCATCAGGCTTCCCGCATGGGCTGCAGCCGCCCGCCACCTTCCCACAGACGGGCTGGTTCTCAGGGCCGCCGTGTGGCGTCGGGCGCAGGTTCCTTCCTGGCAGCGTGTGAACAGTCAGCAGCGTTGCCGAGTAAAGGGAGCAAGACACCGTTTCCTGGGAGGGCCAGGCCTGGCTCGGGGCTGATTCTGTCAGCTGTTCTCGTGCCAGCGTCTTGCCCGGTGCCCCGTCCGCGGGGACCGAGAGTGAACGGCGATCGCTGCATCGCTAGGGTTCCCTGAAAGGGTCAGAGCCCCTCCTCAGCTTTGCTGTCCAGTGGCTCGAGCCTGCCGTGCTCAGACCTGCACGGAGGACGCCATGTGCCCCCCTGTGTCTTTACAGGGAACATCTTACTGCTGGACGGCCCCGAGGACTCCGGGAAGCCCCGGCTGATGCTCATTGACTTTGAATACAGCAGTTACAATTACAGGTGCGCTCACAGCCGCGTGCTCTTGTTCCAGCCGGGTGTCGGGAACCGTTGTGGGGGAGAGCAGGTCGAAATGCCATGCCCCGCTGAAGTCCCTCCGCCCCGGCGGCCTGTGGTGCCCGCGGGGAGAGGCAGTGCCGGCCCCAGTCCTTGGTGCCCTGTGAGGGGAGTGGGGGGGTGAGGAGAAAACCTGGGGCCTGTGCTGTCTGTGCTTCTCCAGTCGTTCTCCTCCCAGAAGGCCTGGCCGCAGGAGGGCGCTCTCGACCGTGCCGCAGCCCCACCAGGGTCTGGGCAGCACCTGCCTGCCTGCCTTCGTCAGATGTGACTGATAAGCCCACAGTGGTCAGTCCTGTTCTCCTCAGCGCGGGGCGTGCAGCGGGTCTGGGCAGCTGCCTCGGAACTGGGCCCGTGAGGTGGGCCCCTGCCGGAGCAGACTGCCTCACGCCGTGTCTCTCCTCCCTCGAATTGCAGGGGCTTCGACATCGGCAATCACTTCTGTGAGTGGATGTATGACTACACCTATGAACAGTACCCCTTTTTCAGAGCGGATTCCCAGAAGTACCCCACCAAGGAGCAGCAGGTAGGGGGTTTGCTTTCCTGGGCTCGGTAGGGAGATCGTCGAAGTCGGCCTTATGCCGTTAGAATTACGTCTTAACTTTTAGAGCTGTCTTTTTGTGGTCCTTGTTGGAGATGGGCCCACTCAGCACTGTCTGCCTGTGCGTCAGGGATGCTGATGCCAGACGTTAAGCTGTGCAGCCATTCTCACCCCTCCTCCGGTGTGTGCCCCCTCTAAGCATCCTTGCTGACCTGGAGTTGCTGTTGCCAGTTTGATCCCATGTAGTCAGGAGCCCTGGTCGTGCAGTCGTTCAGTGGTCGGCTGCTAACTGAGAAATCAGTGGCTCAAACCCCCCAGTGGCTCTAGGGGAGCAAACATGTAGCCATCTGCCCCCATAAAGGTCACGGCCTGGGAGACCCTACGGAGCAGTTCTGCTCCCTCCTGTAGGGTCGCTACAGGTCAGAGCTGACTCGGTGCACAGCAGTGTCAACAGTGAGTTTTAAGAGCACAAAGATGACGGTGGGCCGTCTTTACTAGTTAGGCTCAACCGATGTTTGGTTTACAGAAGGCTTCAGGGCATGCTTTGGTTTATGGCTTCAGGGTTAAAGATTACAGGGACATGCTTTCACGTGTGGGGGGGCGAGGCAGACCCTTCTGTTCTGAATGTCATTCGTCTCTGTTAAACGTGGCCACACACGTGGCTGTTTGGGCCCAGCTCTTTACCCCTGCCACACAGGCCCGCACTCAGAGAGGAGCAGAGCTGGGTTTCTAGTTCCTTCTGCTTTTTTCCAGAAAGCCCAGCCTCTGTTCCACTTTCAGGTTCTCACTGGACATCACTGACCTTCCTCTGTTCCTGTTGTGCAGAGAGAAGTAGCCAGTTGGGCAGCGCGATCTGTGACTGGGGGGGTGCCCTTCCTGCTCCTCTGGGTGGGGGTCCGGAGACCACACGGAGAATCGTTGCTCACGGGAATTCCCTCCCGGGCAGCCTGCTCTTCTCCCCACAGCCCTCCACTGAGCCTTGGGAGCAGGGCTGGAGAGAGGGGGTACCAGCCCACCTCTGTGTTTGTGCATGGCACCAGCCCCCGACCCTCAGTGAGCCCCTGCTGCGTAACCTCTCTCCTGGGCCCTCCCTCTGCTTGATGGTCTCCAGTGTGTCACACAGATGTCAAGGGCGGTCAGGGCAGGGGTGCATTCATGCAGCACTCACTCTGGGCCAAGCACAATGATGGGGGTCTTCAGAAGGTGGCCCATGAAGGACAGCGGTTCAGATGTGGAGTTGCTCCAGTGCCAGAAACTGACACATTTTAAGGCCAAGGGTGATGAACGTTAGTGTCCCCTGAGCAATGTGGCTGGGACCTCCTGGACCTCAAGGTCATGCTACGTGAGAAAGGAGAGTGAGGGAGACTGGGACCCTTCAGTTTGGGGAAGAGAGGGCAGGGGAGTGGCCACCACTCGCCGTTTGGATTCTTGCTGAAGAGGAAGTCGGGGCCCCAGGTGGTGCGACGGTGACTGTGCTCAGTGCTCACCCAAAGGGTGTGGAGTTGGGTCCACCCAGAGGTGCCCTGGAGGAAAGGGCTGGTGACCTGCTTCTGAAAGAGCAGCCACTGACTGCCCTGTGGCCGTTTTCCTCTGGCACTCGGGGTCGTCAGGAGGCAGAGTCGACAGCAGCTGTTTGGAAGAGAAACGTCGTCATTTGTTGGGTGCTGTCGGCTCGGCTCTGCCTCGTGGTGACCCCCCAGACCACAGAACGAAACGCTGCCGGGTCCTGCCCCGTCCTCACGGTCCCTGCTGTTTCTGAGCCCATCGTGGCAACCACTGTGAATCCTTGTCACTGCAGGTCTTCCCTGTGCCCTGACCCTCTCATGTCACCAAGTACCATGTCCTTCTCCAGGGACCGGTCCCTCCTTACAGAATACCCTCTGAGGAGCATTCTGACTGCACTTCTTCCAACCTGATTGGTTCATTCTTCTGGCAGCCCGTGGTCTAGTCAGTACTGTTCACCAACCATAATTCAGATGCATCAGCTCTTCTCTGGTCTTCCTTAGTCATTGTCCAGCTTTCTCATGCACATGAAGCCATTGAAAATCATTGGCACTGGTCGGGTGCACCTTAGTCTTCCTCCTGGCTTTTTAACACTTGAAAGAGGTCTTTTGCAGCACACTTGCCCAGTGCAATACAATGTTTGATGTCTTGACTGCTGCTTCCATGGGTGTTGGTTGTGGATCCAAATAAAATGAAACCCTTGACAGCTTCAGTCTTTTCTCCATTGATCATGATGCTGCTCATGGGTCCAGTGGTGAGGATTTTTGTTTTCTTTATGTTGAGGTGTGATCCATACTGCAGACTGTGGTCTTTGATCTTCATCAAAGTAAGTGCTTTGAGTCCTCTTCACTTTCACCAAGCAAGGTTGTGTCAGCTGCATATCACAGAGTGTTAATGAGTCTTCCTTCAATCCTCATGCCACATTCTTCTTCATATAGTCCAGCTTCTCAGATTATTTGTTTAGCATACAGATTGAATAAATATGGTGAAAGCATATGCTTACATTAGAAAAAAGAAAGAAAGAAAAAGAAACTCACTGCCATCAGGTTTATTTGACTCATAGTGACCCGATCCTGATGCCACATTCTTCTTCATATAATCCAGTTTCTCAGATTATTTGCTCAGTGTGTAGATTGAATAAGTACAGTGAAAGGAACAACCCTGACACCCACCCTTCCTGATTTTGAACCATTTAATATCCCCTTGTTCTGTTCAAACAGCAGCCTCCTGGTCTATGTACAGGTTCCTCATGAGCACAATTAAGTGTTCTGGAATTCCCGTTCTTCTTAGTGTCACCATAATTGGTTATGACCCACACAATCAAATGCCTCTGCACAGTCAGTGAAACACAGGTAAACGTCTTTCCAGTCCTCTCTCCTTTCTGAGTTTTTGAAAATCGTAAATGTTGATCTTTATCAGACAACTTTTCCATATCTGTTGAGGTGGCCTCGTGTTTGCCTTTTTATTTCATTAATGAGAGATTTTTAACTGTTCAGCCATCCTTGAATTCCTGAAATAAACTCTATTTAGATGAGTTGTGTTCTTTGTAATGCTCTGTTGGGCCCAGTTAGGGGATAGTTTAGGAGTTCTCCATCCACGTTCGTGTATGACATGGACCTGTAATGTTCATTTTTAAAATTATTACTCGTATCTGCTTTTGGAGTGAAAATGACACTAACCTCATAAACGAACCGTGCAGCCCGCTCCCGTTTTCTTACCTGGAACAAAGTTACGTAAGGAGAGTACCTGTTCTGTGTGTTTGGTTCATCTTGCCTGTGAACGCTCTGTGCCTGGAACTTCCTGGAGAAGGTCGTTAATGTTCATTTCATAAGATGCTATTCTGTTCAAGCTTTCTTTTGCTGCTGCTAATTTCGGCAGCTTGTGTCCCCAGCAGTTAACCATGTGATGTGTTGGCTCAGGGCTTGGCCTGTAAAACTGGTCTGCCTGGATCTGCTTTATGGTTTTACTGTGGTTTGGGTGAGATTACAGAGCAGATAGTTCCCCAGTCCACAGCGTGCACACACGTGCAGTCCCCTCAGTGGGACGGCATCCTTCATCCTGGGGCTCCCTGTGTCCACTCACCCTTCTTTCCTGTCCCTTCCTGCCTCCTGAGCTTTGTCTGGGCAGATGCTGTCATTTGATTGACTGACTGAGGAGCACATCCCTCCCCAGTGTTACTGTTGACTTGATAGGCCTGGGTCTTGTTTGGCTGAAAGCGGATTCCCAGGGATGGGTTCAGTGCCAGCTTGAAAGGTGTCTAGGGGCCACAGGCCCAGGGCTTCCCCCAGTCTCTGTGAGGCCAGTCTGTTGGGTCTCTTTCATGATTTTGAACTTTGTTCTACGTTTTTCCTCCTGCCTCTGTCCAGGACCTTCTGTTGTGATCCTGATGAGAGCAGCCAGTGGTGGTTGCGGGGCACCATCTAGTTCTTCTGGTCTCAGGACAGTGGAGGCTGTGGGTCACATGGTCCCTCAGTCCTTTGGACTGATTGCTTCCTTGTCTGCACGGATTTGAACCCCAGACCTGGCACTGCTGGCTGTATTCCCTGCTCAGTGCTGTATGTTCCGGTCTCCTCATTGTGAGCATTACGTGAATTACTATTCAAGACAGTGTCTGCTGAGCGAGTGGCTGTTACTTTAAATGTAACAGGGGTTGCAGTTGTCTTTCTCCGCCAGCTTTTCAGCAGAACATAGACCCTTCCAGAACCCCCGGGCAGGACAGGGCTGGACCTTAAGCAGTGCTTTCTGTGGTGGAGGTGGTGGGGCGCATGAGAGCTGGTTCTTAAGCAGGAGGTGGAAGGGCAGGCAGTGGGAAAGGCCACAGAGAAGGACTTGTGCCCTCCAGCTGAGCAGCTAATTGATGAGGGTTCTCTCTGGGAGAATTAAATGACAGATGTTTCCTCATTTACAGAAGAAAGAGCGTGGCGGTTACTGGGTTTTGTTGCCTTTGAGACAGTATGAGGTAATCAGGAACGAGCAGTCTCAGGTGAGTGGGGTGAACAGTTAGAGCAGGTAGAGGCGCTCCTTAGAGTGACCAGTGATCAGGCCTAGGACAACGGAAGGGCAGTGTTTGCTCAGGGACGGCACCCAGAGGCCTGCACCTGCTGAGGGCAACAGCGTCCGTCTCTGCCAGCTGCCTGCTTGCCTTCTCCTGGGACCCGAGAGGCCGCAGGGAGTGTGTGTGCTTCGTGGCGGCTACTGACAGTCAGTGTTCTGACCATCACTGAGCCTAACACAATTACCTTTTTTTTTTTCTTCAAAAGCTCCATTTTATTTCCCATTACTTGGCTGCCTTCCAAGATGAATTTGCAAACCTCAGTGATGAGGAGAAGTCCGCTACAGAGGAGGAAATGTTGGTTGAAGTCAACAGGTAACGGTTCCTATTTTCTGACTGGTAAGGCTCATTTCGCCTACACAGACTGTACTTGGCGTGCCTGGTTGCAGTTAGGGGTGGTGTAGGAGCTCCTGCATAACCACCCATCTCTAGGACTTAGACTCTGTCAAAGCAGAACATGTGGAACTTCTCCCGTGGCTGAATTTGTTCGGGGCCCTGTGTGTTCAGCGCACAGTGTTCAGGAGAATGGGCTCTGTGTGGAGAAGGTCAGGCGGCTCGGCTGGGATTGCAAACTTGAACCTGCACACTGACACTCACACACACAAAGGCTCTGTAATGCGGGCCTGGGAACCTTCCTGCGACAAGCTCCAGCTGATACACTCTGGCACCTAGCTTCTGCTAGAAAATGGTGAGAAATCACAGTTGCTGGCTCTGAGTCTTGCCTTTTGGACGGTCTTTTGGCCTCCAATGCCATGCTTTGACTTGCCACAGCACAGCCCCCCAGCTCCCAGGGCCTGCACGGCTGCAGAGAATGGCACTCACTGCTTATCCATACCCATCCCTGCGGAAGGAGTGCCTTGGGTTAGCCCTGTCCTTCTGGGCCTTGACCTGTGGGATCGTCCAGGAAGCTGACTGCTGAACTTGGGCCCACCTTGTTGCTCCATCTGCCCCATGTACCACAGATGTCATTTCATGGGCCAAGGCTGCAGCCACCTTCGCCCCCCCAGGCCCCACCTGCAGTGTGGGTCTTCCTCTCTGTTTCCTGATTGGGTGCACGGAGAAATGGAGGTTGGGGGGTCTCAGACAGCAGAGAGCAGCATGAGGGACTCTCGTGAGCAGCCAGGGCCCTGGGGCTCCGGGAACAGGAAGGAGAACCGGAATAGGAGGGCTTGGCGAGGACGCAGACCCAGTGGTTCCTCAGTCAGAGCTTTGTTTGATTTTGTGAACCCAAAGGTCCTGTTCTGAGTAGAACCTGGGCTCTCAGTGACGGGGGGCGGGGCAGCCTGTGGGGAGTGGTGTGGTTCCCGTTCACAGCCCCTGCTTGCCGTCTGTGGGAGAGGAGGTGGATGTGGGGTGAGGGTGGGATCGAGGAGACGTCTCTAGCCCCTCTGGTTACAGGCGGTGAGGGGGCTGATGCCGCCATGCATCCTTGTGGCAAACATCGTTTCTGTCTCTGTGGGAAGCCCAAGACTTTACCAGCAGGGCTCCGGGAATGCCGTTAGGGGTCTGGGCAGGCAGTTGGGTACACTCCCACCTCGTGGTGGCCACTGCTCCCTGGCTAGGGGTGGGGGGAGAGGAGAATGTAGTCCCATGGACCTCACCAGGGGAGACAGCTGTTGCCCCTGGATGAGGGAGGATGCTCGTGGAGGGGAGCCTGCTCCACCAGCCCCCGACCGAGGCTGCGTGTCTCACGACTCTCTTTGTAATTGCAGATTCTCCCTCGCATCCCATTTCTTCTGGGGACTCTGGTCCATCGTCCAGGCCAAGATTTCCTCCATTGAATTTGGGTACATGGTATGTCTCGGGGTGGTTCTGCTCTTTTGCTCTACGGGAGTATGCTGCGGGGTGTGTGAGTGCTTGACTATAAACGGACGGTCCTGGAGGGTTTCTGTTACCCTCACGTACCTGAGCGTCGTGAGCTGCTGGCACTGGTGCCCGGAGCCAGGACAGTGCCGCTCACCCCCTGCAGGCTGTGTGGTGTCGGGGCCCCCTCTGATGCTGGGAGGGGCTGCCCTCCCCCCGGAGCCAGCAGGACCTGCCTCCCCTGCTGCAGAGAGCAGTTCTGGGTGGGAAACAGAGAAATCCTGGCCCCAGAGGTGCAGCCCTTCTACCACAGGGGACACTCGGGGGGACTGTAGGTGGTCCCTGCCCCTGCCACAAAGGGCGTACTCATCCATTACCACGCCATTCTCCAGACTCTGGAGCCTGGCGTGGAATTGGAGTTGACCTTTACTGAATTAGATCTTCCATTTGATGTTGGCAAGTTTGTAACTGAGGCTGTAATTTGACCCTAACCCCAGGAACTGTCCTTGATGCAGAGGGGCGAGGCTCTTTTTGACTCTGGATAAACCTTTCTGTTGCTCTGTGACTAGTGGTAGGGCATATGCTGGGTTAGGGGATGGGCACACAGTTGAAGACGAGTGAGCCCCGTTCTTTGGGGCAGATGGTGGGACACGACGAGTTCGTCTTGACCTCCTCATGTAAGGATGCTTTCTGTCCCTAGTCAGAAGGTTTGATGCACAGATGCTGTTAGGAAGAAGGGAAGGGGAACCATGGATTTTAAAGGTGGATTTGGAGTCATGGTCACGTGATACTGTAGACAAAGTAGACGTCAGAACGAGGAGTCCAGCCAGAGGCAGAGAAGGGCAGCTCGTAATAATACAGAGATCAATTCATCAAGAAGGCAAACCGTGCTGGACGTGTACACACCTGTCCTCCAAAGACAGAAGCAACACTGACAACACTGAGAGGCGGCGACGTCAAATTCACGACGGTAGGAGGTTTCACACTCATTCTTTGTGATGATAGAGAAAGTCAACACAAAGCCAGGAGGATGATGGAAGAAGCAGATGACAGTGTCCGCCCGCGTAGCCTAATGGACGTTTATGGAACGTTGCACCGAACGGTTGCAGAACATCCAACCTTTACAAGTGAACATGGAACATTGATCAAAAAGACCCTCTACTGGGCCTTCAACAGGTCTCAGTAAATTTAAAAGGATTGCAGTAGTACAGCCTATGCTCTGACCACACTGCGATTTAATTGGAAATTAACCAATAAGTGATCCAGAACATTTCCAATTATTTGGAAATTAAACAGTATATTTCTAAATAAACTCTAGGCCAAAGGAATTGAAAGGAAAATTAGAAAACGTTTTATGAAAACATAAAACATCAATTTGTGGGAGATAGTCTGTTTTAGTTATCTAGTTCTGTCACAAGTAGATGGCTGTAAAGAGCAGAAATCTAAAATGTATGCTCCTTGGCCACATTGAACAAGAAGAAAAAGACAAATTGGAGAAAGGCTGGTTGCTTTCCCGCCCACTGCCCCAAAGCAGGAACAGGGCAAGAGTGCTGTGCCCCATGTCTGCCAGACTGTACCGGAGCGCCTCCCCAGTGCTGCAGGGCCGTGAGGAGTGGGAGAGGCAGGCGGGCTGGGACAGGGCAAAACAGCTGCCGTCACGCACAGCGCCTCCACGGACGTGAAAACAGTGAAGGAATCGCCAGAGAAGCTATTTAATGCCCGAGTTCCCCAAGGTCCCAGGGTACAAGGTTCACACCAGAAACAATTGCATTTCTATATCCTAGAAACAACTAGAAAGTGAAAAATATTTTAACTGTTTACAGTGGTTTTAATAAAGATGACATTTTTCGGAATACTTTTTTTTTTTTTTTTTTTAATGTGCAAGATCTGTGTGCTGAAAACTGCAAAAGATTTCCAAAAGTAAAGGCCTAAATGAATGGGAAGCTAGACCATGTTTAAGGAGCCCTGGTGGTGCAGTAGTTAAGTGTTGTTTGACTGCTAACCAAAAGGTTGGCAGTTCAAACTCACCAGCTGCTCTCTGGGAGAACGAGGAGGCAGTCGGCATCTGTGAAGACTGGCAGCCTTGGACCCCTCTGGGCACTTGCACTCGGCCCTCTCGGGGCAGTGGGTCCGAGTCATTGGCCGCAGTCTCTGCTCCTTAGGCGTGGTTCATGCATCAGAAGGTCCATTCCTTCCAAGCTTGTCTCTCGGTTTTCCACAGTCCCCGTGAGAATCCTCTTGTTTTTTGTAGAAATTGAAAAGCTGGTTCTAAACTTGGTGTGAAATGCAAGCTGCTCCTCTTTAGTGATCCCGCTTTGGCGGTCCCAGGAAGTGGGCAGCAGCCTCTGTCGTCTTGCTAGCATCCCAGGGGCCACCTCCGTACCAAGGGGTGGCTTTCTGCCATCAGTGCATTCGGGGTCAACAGGACAATGTGTGCTAACGGACACCGAATGTCTAGGCCCAGACAGGCCAGGGGGACCAGGAGCCGTGCCCCTGAGCAGCCAGGTGGCACAGTTGGTACTGCCTGGCTCTGCACTGTGGCGCTCAGCCCCGGGGGGTCGGTGGGGTCTGGGTGAGCAGGCACCTGCGGTGAGCCTCTCTGTGTTTGCTGTCTCTTAGGACTACGCCCAAGCGAGGTTCGATGCCTATTTTGACCAGAAGAGGAAGCTTGGGGTGTGACTGTGGGGCGGCCCTCGGACCTTCACCACTGACCGTGCGGGGCAGCCGGCCAGGGCTCCCTCCGCGCTCTGAGGCCTGACTTACCTGCGGCAGGAAGGCGTGGCCGACTCACTCCAGACCCAGATGTGTATGATACTGAAGACTGTATTAAAACTGACAACAGTTCTTTCCCATCTCACTGGCGGTTTCTCCAGGCCTTGGAGACAACACTGGGAAGCGGAGACGGTGTGCACTAGTGCCATAGTGCGGCATCTCACGACCCCAGCCGCCTAGAGAAGGCGTTTCATACGCGCCTGAGCTTTCCCTCGGACCTACAAGGCAGCGCTGCTGCTGCGGGGACCGTTAGGATTCGTTCTTTGACGTTGATTTTTCCAAATCTGAATTAACGTGCTGGTGATACTGTGATGGGTTCCTTGTAGTAACGGTGTGTTGTAGACACTACTTACTCTGAGGGACCGCGCGTCATGCAGACACACTGTGAAGTCCCTCTGAGGCCTTAACCCGGGATGTCGTCCAGCTGCGGGCGTCCTCTGCCGGGTCCCCTGGAAGCTGCTGGTTCACCCTCTGGTTCAAACAGCCAATGAGCAAGCAAGCCTGTTGCACACAGGCTGTTGAGAGCCATGTCCACACACGGATGAATGTCGTTCCTCTGCTGTTTATGTGTCTGGCCACATAGGTCCATTTAACTGCGTAGAACCTCTGCCATGCCCTCCCCTGATGGAACGTGCATTAGGAACTCCACGGAGGCCAGGGCTGGACTGGCCGGCACCCTCCACGCCCCTGCCCAGCCTGGCATGGAGCAGGTCCCGGTCCCGCTTCCGTGGCCTTTCTCACTTCCTGTGCACTCGGCCTCAGGCTTGGCGTCCAGGGCCTCGGGAGGGCTCAGCCCCAGGGGCCCAGAGACATCCTCCTATCCTCCTATCCTCCTACCCAGTGAGGGGTGCTCTGCTGGGGGTGGGGGCACCCTGGGGCTGTCCTTTGTGGGTGGCCTGCTCTGCAGTGTCCCTCCACGGTCACTTGGAAGCAGCAGCCTGTACGTGGTGCGCAGTCTTGGGTAAAGACACGCGTGACAGCGTGTGTGTACAACACCCCCTTGGATAAACTTCCATTTTTTTTCACTCTGCCGTTTGATTTAAATTGTTTTTTGTGCATACATTTCTGCTACTACAGAGATTGTACTATACAAAACAATAAAAGAATTGAAAGCCCAACTTGGCTCTGTCCTGAATCTCAGCAGGAAGCGGTTCCGGGGGAGTCCCCTCTGGGTCTGAACGAGCAGCGTCGTCTGCTCTCCAGGACCGGCTGGCATGCCTGGGCTGCTCCTCAAAGTGGGGGTTTCCGGGCTGCCACACTGCTGGCTGCCCTTGGCACTCCCCAGCCCACTCCCTAGGGCCCCTTTGCGGGTCTCTCCTTGGGCACTTTGACCAAGTCACAATGTGGTCCACCCAGCACGCCGTACTATGGTAGCTCAACGTGTTAACCTGCATTTCCCCCAAGTACAGGGATTTCTGGAAGAGGCAGAAGGAATTGGGCACAGTGGCTGGGGCTAGGGCAGGTGGGAGACTTGTCCCAGTGCACCCTTACAGACATTTAAAATTGTCATCAGGTGAATGCATTCCAAATGAAAAATAAAAATGCTGTATTTCTGCTTAAAATCACCTATAGCATCTCAGAATAGATATCCCACTCCTTCCCATTGGGTTCCCGCCTCCCCCCCATCCTCAGCCTGGGCACACCTACCTGTGCTTTCCGCTCAATGCCTCGGGCTAGGCCTCCCTTGGGGCTCCCTCGGGGCCTCCCAGCCGTCCCACTCAGAACAGGCCATTACTCCTCTTGTTGTTAGATGCCGTCGAGTTGGCTCCGACTCACAGCGGCCCCATGCACAGCAGAACGAAACACTGCCCGGTCCTGTGCCAGCCTCACGATCCTTGTTACACCTGAGCCCATCGTGCAGCCACTGTGTCAGTCCATCTTGTTGAGGGTCTTCCTCTTTTTTGTTGACCCTTCACTTTACCGAGCATGAATGATATCCTTCTCCAGGGAATGGTTTTTTCCAACAACATGGTTAAAGTAGGTGAGATTAAGTCTGGCCATTCTCGCTTCCAAGGAGCATTCCGAATGCACTTCCTGCAGGACAGATTTATTAGTCCTTTTAGCAGATCATGGTACTCTTAGGATTCTTCTCCAGCACCACAACTCAAAAGCATCAACTCCTCTTCAGTCTTCCTTTTTCACTGTCCAGCTCTCACATGCATAAGAGGCAACTGAAAATACCATGGCTTGGGTTAGGCTCATTTTAGTCTTCAAGGAGACATCTTTGTTCTTCGTCACTTGAAAGAGGTCTTTTGCAGTAGATTTGCCCAATGCAATACATCATCTGCTGTCTTGACTGCTGTTTCCATTGGTGTTGATTGTGGAACCAAGTAGTTATGAAGTCCTTGACAACTTCAATCTTTTTTTCCATCCACCATGAAGCTGTTTATTGGACCAGTTGTGAGGATTTTTGTTTTCTTTATATTGGGGTGTAATCCATACTGCAGACTGTAGTCTTTAATCTTCATCAGTAAATGCTTCAAGTCATCCTCACTTTCAGCAAGCAAAGTGTCGTCTGTGTATCACAGGTTGTTAATGAGTCTCCCTTCAATCCTGATGCCACGTTCTTCTTCATGTAATCCAGCTTCTTGGATTATTTGCTCAGTGTACAGGTTGAATAAGTATGGTGAAAGGATATAACCGTGATGCACTCCCTTCTTGATTTTGAACCATGCCATCAGTATTCCCTTGTTCTGTCCAAACAACAGCCTGGTCTATGGACAGGCTCCTCATGAGCACAATTAAGTGTTCTGGAATTCCCATTCTTCCCAGTGTTATCCATAATTTGTTTTGATCCACACAACTGAATGCTTTTGCATAGTCAGTAAAACATAAGTAAACATCTTTCTGGTATTCTTTGCTTTTAGCTAAGATCCATCTGACATCAGCAATGATATCCCTTATTCCACGTCCTCTTCTGAATCCAGCTTGCACTTCTGGGAGCTCTCTATGTACTACTGCAACCATTTCTGAATTATCTTCAATAAGATTTTACTTGTATGTGATATTAATGATATTGTTCGATAATTTTCACATTCTGTGGGATCATCTTTCTTTGGAATGGGTACAAATACGGATCTCTTCCAGTCAGTTGGCCAGGTAGCAGTCTTCCAAATCTTGGCATAGCCAAGTGAGTGTTTCCAGCACAGCAGTCGTTTGTTGAAACATCTCAACGGGTTTTCCATCAATTCCTGGAGCCTTGTTCTTCATCAATTCCTTCAGTGCAGCTTTGATTTCTTCCTTCAGTACCATTGCTTCTTGATCATATGCCACTTCTGAAATGGATGAAAATCTACCAGTTATTTTTGGTACAGTGACTGTATTCCTTCCATCTTCTTTTGATGCTTCCTGCATCATTCAATATTTTGCCCATAGAATCTTTCACTATTGCAGCTCGAGGCTTAAATTTTTTCTTTAGTTCTTTCAGCTTGAGAAATGCCAAGTGTATTCTTCCCTTTTGGTTTTCTAACTCCAGCTCTTTGCACATTTCATTATAATAATGGGCTTTGTCTGCTCGAGCTGCTCTTTGAAATCCGTTATTCCCACATCCCTGGTTTTCTTCAAGATCTGACCATGTGCTTGGTTTCTGGGGTAGATATAAACAGGGCGCAGAGGGCCCTGGCCACTCACGGCCCCTGTGGGTGCCCGCCTCCTGCGGTGAGGCTGGGTGTGTGGGCCTTTGCCCTCCTCCCGAGGCCCTCTAGGGCCCTGCTGACACTGCTCCAGCCTCTGCCCCATCCCAGGGCCAATCCTGGCCCAGCCCTTGCCCCCTGAGCCCACCCCAGGGCACCAGTGCTGCCAGTTGTCCAGGTAGCAGAGCCAGGCAGGGTCGACCAGTTGTCTCCCTGGGATCACAAACTTGATTCTCCCCATGTCCCCACCCCACAGCTCCTAGCACACACCCTCCTCCACGCCCAAGTCTCCTCCTCGGGGCTCTGTCCAGGTCAGAATCCATCCCTCTTCCATCCATAGTCAGCCTCAGTCCCAGTCGTGGGGTCAAGTGTGCAGAGCCCACGCCTCCTGTCCTAAAGGGACCGTTCAGGCATCTGCAGGTGGCCCGGAGCCAGGCCTCTGCCAGGCATGTGGAACTGCTCCCTTAGGGCTCTGGGCGGTCAAGGGCCAGGCTCCTCCCAGCAGCTGGCCAGATGAGGCTGACGGCGCCAGCAGGGTGCGGGGCCCTCTGTCCTGGGTCTCCAGCCGGAAGAACGTTTGCAGCTCACTGGCCAGAGAAGGCGAGGCCTCTGCCCCCCAGTCCTAGTAGGGCACCCCAGCCCCACACCTCGGCTGGGCTGACACCCACACTCTGCTCTTCCACTGCCTCTCAGGCCCTGGGTGACTCCACAATGGGACTTGGAGTCAGGGTGCCCGAGCCCCCCGAGCCCCTGGGGACCAGGGCCAGCACCAGGGCCCGAGACACTGGCCAGACCCAGGACATCTTGAGTATCCCAAGAAGATCCCTGCAGCCTGTTTGCACGCCTCCACGGATGGGCGGCTCACTGCCCACCCCCACCCGGCCCACCTGGGAAGACGAGTGTTCATCTTCAGCTGGAGTCGGCTGGCAACGGCCCACCTCATCCTAGTTCCGCCTGCCTGGGCCCTGTTAGCTTGGGTGGTTTTCTGATGTGCCCCTGGGGCCGCCGCACCTCTCTAACCCAGGTTCTGGTCCAGTGCCTCCCACACCCACAGCCTCACTCCGTGCCTGGAAGGCAAGCAGAGGCCACTGTGGCGTCCAGATCAAAGACCCAGCGAGGCCTGGAGAGGGGCCGGCCCAGAACCCAGAGCCCACGCAGGGCCCTGGTTCTGCCAGCTACCTAGACCCAGTGCTCCTCCAGCTACCAGGGACCAGAAAGGACCAAAACGCAGTTCTCAGGCCTCCCCTCTCTTTATTCCTCTGCCACTGCTTCGGGGTGAGGGCCGGGTGGGGGGGCTATGTGCTCTCCACGGCGAAGGTGAAGGGGGTCAGCTTGTAGCCAGTTCCTGAGTAGAACTTGTTCTGGAACTCCACCCTGGGGGTGCGAAAGGAGCGGAGGTGAGGGGGACGCCTCCAGCCGTCCTCGCGCCCCCGCTGCCCACCTTCCCCGGGCGCTCACCAGTGCAGCCGCAGGGCATGCAGGAAGGCCGAGAGGCCCTCCATCACCAGCAGGATGGCCACAGTCAACACGGCAAAGGCCGCGAAGATGGGCACCAACACAGCTGCCGCCACGCCCACCTTGCTGTCCAGGCCCAGGCCCAGGCCCATGCGCATAACCATGGCCCACAGCACCTCCGACAGCTCTGTGGGAGAAGAGCCTTGGGCACCAGGGGCCCCTCGCTGCTGCCCAAGCCCGGCTTGCTGTGGGCACCTCCCGCATCTGCCCTGGACGGAGGGGGCCCACCCCCGCCGGTCACTCACGGGCATGGGCCAGGCTCAGGGCCCAGAGGCGCAGGTAAGAGGCCGTGTTGGAGATGCAGCCCAGGCAGAATTCGATGGTGTGGATGGCCTGGTGCATAAACACCTCGGAGAAGACAAACTGTAGCAGCAGGTGGGCAGCGGTGAGGGCCAGCGGGGCCTGCAAGCCGCCCCCCACCCCCTCAGGAAGGCACTGCACGCACCTCCGCCTGCTCCTCATCCCCTGGGGGCCCTGCCTTCTCCTCGTCGGAGCCCCAGCCGTTCACAGACATGTCGCTGTCCTGCGAGTCCAGAAGCCCAGTTTTGCTCTCGTCCTTGGGGCGGGGGGAGGAAGCAACCTTAGCAGGCCCCAAGGTCAGGAGGGCACCCACCCAGTGCCAAGCACCTCCCAGAGCGGCTTCAGGGCAGCCTGGAGACCGGGGCTCAGAGTGGCAGCACCTCCAGCTGCCTGGGTCCCTACCAGCTGGGGGCCAGAAGGCTGTCGCAGCAGGTGGTGGTGGCGGCGGCGGTGCTGCCAGCACAGATACAAGGGTGTGCCCAGCAGCAGGACGGGCACCATGGCCAAGGCCAGGACCACCAGCGTGGACTGGACCACTTCCTGCAGGTGATGGGGGGGGGGTGAGCCAGAGGCCTCACAACTGGGAACATGGAGCCCACCTCCCCCGGTACCCTCATGGGCTCCTGAGCTGCACTCCTGCCTCCCAAGCCCCCCACTAAGCAAGACCATGGCTCCCTAAGGAATCCTGCACGCAGGGAGGGGTCCTCAGGCTTCTAGAACCTTCTGTGTCACCTCCACCTGGAGCTGTGCACTGTCGCCCCTTAGCTCCCTGTCTGCGTGAGGGCAGCTTGTAGCCTCAGGCCTGCATCTCATTTCTCAGATGGAGAGACTGAAGCTCCGAGTGGCCCACTGAGCATGAGGCCTGGGGAGGCTGGCGTGAGGTGGCTCCTCTGCCCTGGCCCACCTGCCCAGAGTAGAGGGGCCGGTTGGTGGGACTTCGAGAGAAGAGGAACATGTTGATGAAGTGGATGAGGATGCTGGGGGCCAAGGCGGCGCCATCAGTGAAGACACACAGCCACTTGTAGAGGACCATGAAGACCAGGTAGCCGAAGAGGCCCAGCAGGAAGGTCAGCTGGGGCAGGGCCTCCAGCAGCAGCCGGTGATACTGGCCAAAGTGCCTGGCGGGAGGACGGGAGCAGGTCACCTGGGCCCACACCGCCCGGCCAGGCCGCCCACGCCCGCCACAGCCCTGGCCCTCACACGTGGTTGAAGATGCTGAGGACCACCCCGAAGGTCATGTGGATGACCCCCAGGACTACGGACATCTTCATCTTGAAGGAGTTGAGGAAGCTCAGGTGGTTGATGGCCAGGCTCCAGATCTGGGAGACGGGAGGTGGGTGTTACTCCCAGACCCATCCTGCTGGCCTCAGAGGGCCCCCAGTCCCAGGCAAGGTCACTCATCACCCTGTTTGTGCCGTGAAGCCCTTGGCACAATCTGTGAGCACCCAGTGAGAGGCACTGGAAGGGAACAGGTAGAACACACCCCTGGGGCCAAACTCCAGCCCTGCTACGTCACTGGACGGCTTCAACCTCGTTCCCTCATCTGTTAAGACGGGATAACAGTGGTCACCGATGGGGATGTTGTGAGGATTAAATGTAAAGTAATCCACATACGGGACCTAGAACAGGACCTGACCCACAGGGCGTGTCACTGTGTCTCTGTGCCCACCTACTTAGTTGAGTGACTGCTCCTCCCAGTAGCCTGGGGTCTAGGAAGGTGGGACTGAGTTTGTCCAGGCCCCCCCATGTCTCCAGGGCCTATAGTAGGGTCCTGCGTACAGCAGGCGGTCAGTGGAGAGCTGAAGGTGGGAGGGAAGGGCTGGGGCGGGGCATCAGGAGTCCTCGGCCTTCCTACCCTCCTGGTGCCACCACTCACAGGGTCAATCCCAAAGGGGTAGGGTCCCAGGAAGACGCCAGAGACGTTGGGGTTCAGGGTGAGCATCTCGTGCTGGGCCAAGAATGCGTCGCTGCAGCAACAGTGGGAGGTGAGCCTGGTGGCCAGGTGCTGGGAGAAGCTTGGGGGTGGGGCGCGAAGAGCTCAAGACCGGAGGGAAGGCGATGCTGGAGGCGGAATTCAAGGCGGCGGGGCGGGGCCGCGGGAATGCGGAGGCGGAGCTGGGGCGGGGCCGCGGGCGTACTGGGCGGGGCCCGGCCTCACCTCCAGCCCGACTGGTTGGCCATGGTGGCCACGCTCCAGCCCGAATGGAAGATAGCGGTGGCGCGGCTGAAGCACTCATTGTAGATGAAGCCGGTGTAGACGGAGAACAGGCCCATGAGAAGCAGCAGATAGCGCCCCCCGAAGAAGGTCTGCCAGATCTGGGGGTTGGTGCCGTGAGAGACTGTCCAGCCCCACCACGCCACCCTGCGGGCCCCGACCCGGCCCTCGCTCACCTCGTTCTGCGCGGCCTTGACAGCCGGCCGGTCCTCAGCCAGCACCATGGTGAGCCCGAACAAGAACATGAGCAGCCCGTGGCCCACGTCGCCAAACATCACAGCGAAGAGGAAGGGGAAAGTGATGATAGTATAGGGTGCTGGGAACAGATGGGGGAGCACTCAGCCAGGGTCCCCACAGCAGCAGCCTTCCCGGGCCTCGGGGTGGGGGGTTCCCCCGGAACAAAGGTGGTGTTTGCAAGGTGAGGCCACCAGTCTGCCAGAGCACCACTTACTAGCTGTGTGACCTTGGGCTGGTTACTTAACCTCTCTGAGCCTCCCTTTCCCATCTGTAAAAGGAGCCCAGTGGTGCAGTGGTTAAGTGCTTGGCTGCCAACCAAAAGGTCAGCAGCTTGAAGCAAACCCACTGGCCACTCCGCAAGTGAAAGATGTCCTGTTTGGAAACACCATGGGGCAGTTCTCAGTCACACAGGGTTACTATGAGTCAGAACCAACTCCATAGCAACAGGCTTGGTTTTGGGTGTAAAATGGAGGTAACTACAGAGAACAGCATGTGTAATAGTATTTAGCTCTTCGTGGTGGTAGCTGTCACGAAGCCGGCCCCCTGTCCATGGGGAGCCCCTACACAACTAACTCCACTGCTGCCAGTCCCTCCCCTGTGTTCAGCGGGGACCCAGTCATTGTGATCCACAGGTTTTCCTAAGTACATTCCCAGGCCTTCCGTCCCAGTCACAGGCTGGAGAGTCCACTGAACCTGTCTGAGGTCCGAGCCACATACAGGCCTCCACGGGTAGGTGGGTGGTGGCCGCGGGTGAGGTGGCTGGGCCAGGAATCGAGCCCAGATGTCCCCGGAGGAAGGGGAGCCTCCCACCAGTGACCCGCCACCACCTGACCATCCCTTCCTAGGGGCGTCAGTGGGTGTGTCCGGCAGCACCTGGAAGAACGCCATCCCAATCATTGTCATCTACAAGGACTTGAGGCAGTGGCTCGTGAAAAGTGACACCCCGAGAACCCAAAGGTGGTCCTGGCTGGTGTGTGGCAAAGTTCCGGAAGGCTGACTTGACCACTGACCCTCTGCAGCCAGCTTCCCTGTTCCCAGTGGGAACAGTACTCGTGGGGTGTTACCGTACTGAGGAGCCCTGGTGCGATGGCTAACTAAGCACTTGACTGAAAGATCAGTAGTTCAAAGCCCACAGTGGCCCTGCAGAGGTCAAGACCTGCGCATCTGCTCCTAAAGGTGTCAGCCCAGGAAACTACCGCACAGCTTTACTCTGTCAATTGGGGTCGCTATGAGTCGTATAACTCAGTGACACAGGACAGCAGCAGCAGCTGGTTATCATCAACTGTGGCTCTCTGGGTGATCAAGTTGGCTCTCGCTGGACGGACGTCCCTCAACGCAGAGGATTATTGGACAAGAGAAACGGGACTGGAGCCTACACAAGCTCCAGGAGCCCCACCCTGCATAATCAGCAGGTCTCAGAGGACCACATGCAACCCTGCCTTCCTGTCCTGTCTGCACCACGTTGGGGCCAAGCACCCTGCTTCTTGCCCGCTGGTCTCCCTGACCTGTGACTAACTCCCCTCTGGTTTCATACCTCAACCCCAGCTCAGGAGGGAAGCACCCACTGCGTCCCTCCCCCTGCGGCTGCTAGGCCACTTCTAGGACCCGCCCAGCACCTGGGAGGATCACTCCAGGGGACATGCCAGGAACCACGCCCCTCCCCAACAGCTGCTGAAGGCAGGTCTGAAAGGATCAGGCTGGAGACTGCCCAGTGCTCAGCCCTTCCCCTCTCTGCCTAGACCAGTCGCCCCTCCTCCTGGGAGCACAGGTAACACCACCTGCACCAAAATCCCCATCTCATCTCTGCTTCTAGGGGAAACCCAACCTAACACAGCTCCCAACTCAGCCTGTAAAGCCATGTGGCCAATGAAGTCCCACAGGAGGCTGGGGAGGGGAGCTGCAGGCTAGTGGGGGGCGGGTGCTGCTGGCTGGTGGGGGGCGGGTGCTGCTGGCTGGTGGGGGCCTGCGGGTCTGTCACCTCGCACCCCCAGGAGGTTGGCTCAGTGAAACCTGTGAGAGGAGGAACATGAAAGGACTGCCTTGTTTTCTGGGTCTTGCAAGATATCAGCCCAACAGGGCAGCCTGTCCACCCTCCTCTCTCTCCATTAGTGAAAAATATTTGCGTTTCCCTTCCAGTTTCTGCCTCACACAGGTCCCGGCTTTCACAGGGCTCACAACCTGATTATTCCCATCTTACAGATAAGGAAACAGAGTCGGAGAAGCTGAGAAACTTCTCGGTGTGAGTCGGCCTTCAGATGTGGGCCGAGCCTACTGCAGACCTCTGTCCTTGGTACCAGCCGGTGCTGGCTCCCTGCTGAGGGTATTTAGGGAGGCTTGGCTGGGGATGGCCATCACGCTCCACACCGGACGGACTCAACTGTCCCGCAGCCCCACAGGAACGTGATGGGGAGCGTGCGTCTCATCCAAGGGCGGGGGGCAGGCCCAGTGTGGGGACTCACGGCCCTGGCGCTCGCTCACCGGGGTTGACCTCCATGTAGCGGCCCACGCCATAGGCGTCCACGATGCCCTGGAAGCTGGCAGTGAAGCGGTTGGTGCGGATGAGTGTTGGGGGCATGTCCCGGCAGGGGATGCAGTGAACCACGGCGCTCACGTCCACCTCACTCTGGGGCGGCGGCCGGCGGGTGGGCGAGCAGACAGACACACAGACATAGTGGGGTCAGTCTCTATGGCTGGAGACCCTCAGGCCTCCCCAGCCCCAGCAGCCCCGGCTGGTGCAGAGCATCATGGGCAGGTCCTGGAGGACCCCAGGCCTTGGGCCCCCATCCATGAAATGGGGTGGGGGAGGTTGGGGAAGGGTCAAAAGGCCTGGAAACTGTTGGGAAGTTAAAAGTGTACTGCAGCTCAGCCACAAAGCCAGGAGGGGGCGCCCCATCCTCACAGGGGAGCACCCAGTACCTGCCACATGCCCCCCCCCAAGCGCGCGCTTCCCGCGCGCGCGCGCACACACACACACACACAGCAATCAGGAGCGTCACACCCATTTCACAGGTGAAGAGCTGCTCTCACAGGTCAAGGTCATGACATCTGGGGAAGCCTAGATTTTAAACTCAGTGTCTACTTTTTCAACAGCCCCATGCAGTCTCCAGTGTGTGACTGACCCATCCCAGGGGCTCTGGGAAGTCACGGGAGGCAGAGCTCACTAGGTGGGACAATCAGGGCTGACTCCCTGGAGGAGGTGGCATGGAGGACCCCTTCCCACAGAGACAAAGGTGTGGGAGAGGGGGCCCTGAAGGTGTGCTTGAGGTGGTGACAGGGAGCAGGGGAGGTGGGGGCAGGCGGCAGGCAAGCGTCCCGGCCTCACCGAGCTGTCCTGTAGTGCCCGCTGCAGGGCGGGCAGGTCGCGCGTGGGGCACCAGACCTCCGCGATGAGGCACTTGTGGGTGGCACTCACGCTGCACTGGTTCAGGGCCAGGTACACGGCCTTCATCTTGCGAATCTGCACCTGCCACGGTGGCAGCAGCCGCTGCACCCGGCCCAACACCTGGTCCAGGAACCGCTCCGTCTCCTCCAGGACCTGGGCCAGAGCGGGCCGTCAGGACAGGTCGGGGCTGCGGGGCGGGCGGGGAGTCCAGCCCAGCTGGGGGCCCACCTCCCGCAGCTCCTGCGTCTGCTGCTGCAGCTGTTGCAAGACCCCGCGGCGGGCCGCCGCCTCCTCCTCGAACGGGAAGACGTGGCAGTGGAAGCTGTAGGGGACAGGGGCCGTGAGCAGGGCCGAGGGGCAGCCTGGGAGGGTGGCAGGCAGGCAGGGGCCTGGGCACAGGGCACCGTCGGGCGGCCAGGGCCAGGCCGGACGGGGGCCCCGGATGCCCAGCCGGGGAGCAGCGGCCCCGGACCAGGGGCAGCGAGCAGCTCACCAGTCCGTGATCTTGCGAACCTTCTGCCCAATCTGCTCCCCCCAGTAGGAGATCAGGAAGGTCATCCAGGTGGCAGGCTCGCCCTGTGGGAGCCGGCCTCAGTTTACCCTGGAGCCCGGGCAGCCCAGCCCTTCCTCTTAGCCTCGCCCCCGACCACTCACTCCAGCCCAAGCCCCCTCCCTACTCACCCTGGCCGGGAGCCCACCCGCACCCCCACCTGCTCACCCCAACCAGCCCCCCAGCCCTGACTCACCGTCACGGGGTCCTCCAACGGCCGCTCGGTCTCCAGGAAGCTGGCGATGAAGAAACCGCGGCAGGCCCTCCAGAGCAGACGCTCCAAGGCGGGGGCCTTGTGCGGCTCCACGGCCCCGGCCACGAAGCTGCAGAGGGCAGAGGGGCTGGGCGGGGCCGCTCCGGCACCCCTGAGCCCCTGGGCCCACACTGGTCCTCCGCCAGGTTCTGGCCAGGGCGATGACCAGCACGCAGGCCCCACCCCAAGACAAGGCACGACCCCCCCACTCCCCAGGCAGGGCCAGAGAAGAGAAAGCCCCATGGGTCAGGGGAGGGACGCAGGCAGACCAGGCCGAGGAGGGACTGGGGGGCCGCTGAGAACCGGGATGCAGGAGGCCCAGACAAGGAGCTAGGACCAGGAGCCCGGCCACCGTCACTCACTTGACCCTCAGGTGCTGGTGCGGCCCCTCGGAGGGCTGCAGCAGGAAGGTCCTCTCTGACAGCCCATCCAGGTTGGTGCCTTCGGCCTAGAGATGTAGAGACAGCGTGAGCCGCACGGAGGGGGCCTGCCCCTGCACCCCACCCGGGCACACGCTGACCTGGGGGCCGTGGCCCTGGCCCAGCACGGCAGCATGGAGCTGCAGCTGGTGCAGCTGGGCCCGCAGGGCCCGCTGGTTGCCCCGGACGTCGCGCATCTCCTGAGCCAGCCGCTCCGTCTCCTCCTGGATGCGCAGCAGGTCACGGGGTGGGGGCGCAGGCAGCCGCCCCTCGGGCGCAGGCAGCGTCAGGCCGGCCCGCCGTACCTCCTCCTGCAGGAATGCTGGGCACAGGAGGACAGCGTCAAGGGGCCACTCGGGGCCGGCGAGCACCTGGGGGACCTCAGACAACAGCCCCGGCCCCCACCAGCCACCTAACACTCCAAGTTGGAGATCCTCAAAGACGCTCAGGCCCAACTTCCATCCCAGAAGACACCCCCTCTCTGGGCTCAAAGGGGCCGGCGAGCACCTGGCAGCCCCGGCACACACCAGCCGGCCCCCACCAGCCACCTAACACTCCAAGTCGGAGATCCTCAAAGACGCTCAGGCCCAACTTCCATCCCAGAAGACACCCCCTCTCTGGGCTCAAAGGGGGGCTGCACTCCCGCCCCAGCCCCCTGACCAAGGCCCACGGTGGTCTCTGTCTCGTGAGCAGACAGCCTGACACTGCAGGGCCTGGTGGGGCAGGTTCACGTAACATATAACATAATAAACCAAGCTGCTTGTTCTGGGTGCTGTTAAAGTCCGTTCTGCTTCGTGACCACCCGTGTGACAGAGAACTGCCCCGTAGGGTCTCCTAGGCTGTGATCTTTCTGGGAGCAGACTGCAGGTCTTCCTCCAGTGGAGCCCGGGATGGTTTGAACCCCTAACTGTTCAGTTAGCAACCGAGCCTCACCCACTAACCACCCCCCACCCCACCCCACTGCCACTGAGTCAGTTCCCACTCACAGCGGACCTGCAGGCTTGAGGAGAGCTACCCCACAGCGCTTCCAAGGCTGCCATGTTTATGGAAGCAGACCGCCCCATCTTCCTCCCACGGGCGGCTGGTGGGTTCACACTGCCGACCTTTTGGTTAGCAGCTGAGTGCCTTAAGTAC